ACACAATTTTCTACAGTAGTGATGCACAGTGCATGAAAGTCCATCCATCCCTCCAACCAATTTCATATAACTTCTTATCTAATTCATGGTTGCAGGGTTGCGGGAACCTACTCCAGCTGTCACAGGGCGGGGTATATGGAAGCATGTGAATGAATATTACACACTGATGTGACACCTCGTACATTAATGTGATGCTCTAACAGTCATCATGCTTTTAAGCTTCCCACTAGATGATTAACATCTGGTTAATGGCCCCTTTTTCTTTGAAATCATTTGATTTTTACTTCAGAAAGTATATGTATATGCCAACGTACCTATCTTTCTCTGAGAGAAAAAAGATAGATAGCTAGATAGATATGCTGGATACCAGATTTTAGCACATATGTTAAAAACAGTCATTGGGTTTGGTTATAGGGAGTATTTGCTTTTATTTTTCTTTTCTGTTCTTTCGCTTTTATGTAGAAGCCAAATGAATTGAAGAGAATCAGTGAACCAGGTGACCTCTTTCCAAATAGGAAATGAAAACAAAACTCTTTTCTAAAAACTATAAATACTGTCAAGTCACATGGGTGACAAGTAACCACATGCATTTGAGATAATGTGATGACTTTGGGAAAAAGGAAAAACCAGAGTTATGCAACTGGGGCTGAGGCAATAGTTACTGCATCAACTCATTGTCCATTATTTCAACTTACCTGTCTGGGCAAGGCCAGTGCTCAGAAAGGAATCAAGGAGTGGAAGGGAGGAGGAAGTCCTGTGGAGTTTTGTAGCTGTGGATGAAACCAGGTAGAAAGAAATTGTTTGCGATACTGGTGCTTCCTGTCTCCTTTTCGCAACTAAACCACGAGCTGTTACGTGCATGTTTGTTCCTGTTGTGAGGTGCGTGTTGACATAATGGCGGAGGAGGAGTAGGTCACAGTGGTTTGACATATTTAGAATATCACTGCTGGTATTGATTAATGTTAAAATATATTGTGTATTCGTAGCTTTCTAGATCTATAAGCCTTTTAAAATTCTGTAAAAAGCATGTCATGTTCTAAGTCCTGATGACTGATGAATTTTGGGTTTCTGATTTGTTGCTCATTCTTTTATCTTAATTCTTTGTTTTTCTGGTTTTCCCAGCGTTTCACACACACACTCCACAGGTCTGTTGATGACTCTCCGAAGATTTGGATGAGCTCTTTTCTGACAGACAATCTGGACAGTGCAGGAACTTATGCCAGGCTACTTTTTGTGGACTTTAGTTCCACTTTTATTACCATCAACCCAGCTCTACTTCAGGATTCCTCCTGCAGTGATCTACACACACAGCAGATTAGAGTAGACATGCAAGCATCTTTTTTCATTTGTGATTCTTGAGTTTAGACATTTAAATACATAATTCCACTCTTCTGCTAATTTAAAGAATATGAGCTTTCATTCAGGTGTTTTCTGACTCTACATTTTCTTTTGTCATTAGTCAGCTTTTTCTAATGTACATGTCAAACCTGTTCAGCTGCTTTCCAACTTTGAAAGTTTGAAACAGCAGTTTTGAACATTAACCTTCAAGTGAATGATTCTGTGTATTTCAGCTCATTCAACATTTTTAACTTAACATTCCAGCAGTTATTACATTTCAGCTCAAAAGATTCAACTATCAGCATTCACACTGCAGTTTCTTCAGGAAATGCTTTTCTAGTTTTGGTTTCATTTTTTGCTGTTTTTGTCTCCTGGTTGTAATTCTGTATTATAAATGCATAATAAGTGTTGTGACATTACTTTGCCCTGGAATGACTTATTAATGCTCTATATTGTACATATGCTTTACAATTTACTATACAAAGTAACTGCACTGAATCCTGAATTTAAAATTGAGCTGATGAACTAATACCACATGGTCTGTAGCAACCACATTATTCCTCCAAAACTGAGAACCTGCTGGGCCATGCGCCAGAAATCATGTGCATCAGTTAGTGTGACGTACTGATGACTTTGCAAATATCTTTAATATCTGGGTCAAAGTAAGAGGTGTATAAATTAATGTAAAATCTAATAAAAACATCATTTATGTCTGCAGAATTAAGGCGTGTATTCTTGATCAAGTGGGAAGTGTCCAACAATAGTCCAACAATAATAAAGGCATAATTTTTCATGTATTCTGTTGTGTTATTTTATTAGCAGAAAGGTCAGATCTCTCCATTGTTGGATTCAACACAGCATTAAAGTCACCAGCTATTGTAAGTTCTGAGGTTGGCAGGTTGCTTAGTGAAGAGAAACTTTATGAAGCACCATCTTGTTAGGACCATTGCAATGTAGATACTATAAACTGGCCTTCTGGATCAAAAACTCTATGACTGGATTGTGATTAGGTTTCATATTTTATGGTATATTGCGTAGTTGCATTTATACAGCCAAAGACTTTTCACCATTTTACCATTTTCAAGCATAAAAGCTGTCTATGAATATAGTTTGTCTACACAAATTACTGCTTTCATTTACCCCAGAAAATTAATTGCGTGCATCTGGACGTAGCGTTTCCTCACTCAACCAAGTTCTTCAGTCTCAGCTGACTGTAGGTTTCTCCAGCCTTGTAAACAGCAGATTTGCATAATGACTGAAACTAGCACCACTGAATACACAATGGACCGTGACATCAATTTCATGATAATTAATATACTATTTGTCATGACCATTAATCAAGGACCGTGAGAGATCAAGGACCATTCACAGAAAGTTGTTAAATAACAAAGTTGAAAAAAGTATTTGTACTTCATTCAGCTGCTTCTGGGTTGTTGAGTTGGTGAATGAGTCCAGTGGTCGTTTTGATGATGGAGTCGGGTTACGAGCGGCTCCGTTAGTTTTCGTTCTTTATCATTGTGAATAATTGTTCGGAGTAGGAATCGATATAATAGTCCAGCTCCTCGGGGTTGAAACCTTTATAATGTAGAGAGAGATGTAGTTGGCTCAGTACTTTGTTTACGTTCCACAAACAGGTCGTAGCCATGTTGGATCACGCAGAGTCTCGTGAGAACTGAGGTTTACGTCGTCGTTGCGCTTCTGCTCCTTTGGATTGGGCAGACTAGGCGACTCAGTGGCACAATGCTGCCATCTACTGTTATTATTATCCAAGACGGGCATTTCTTTCTGCTGTATTGTGAAGTGATCATGTGAAGTAAGACTTGCTCGTTTTTCCATAAGCTTTGCCATCGTTCATTTATAAACATATTTGTAGTTTCTGTTTCTGATTAATAAAATGCTGTTCTGTTCTCCATCAATCATTCTCTCATTTAGCCACATTTCAAGAAATCTAAACTACTTGGCTTACTCAAGGTTCTTTTCACATATTTTAGATGTTGGTCTGGCAAGCATCAGGTCAGGTCTTTTCCTTTCTTTTCCTTTTTTAATCAGTGGATATTTTAAAACCCAATCATTAGCCCACATTCTGCAAAGCCTTTTGAATTTAGTAGAACATATACACAAGATTTCTTCCTTATTTCCAGATGACAAGATCTCTTTTCCCACTCTGAACATTTACAAGGTACTTCCTTGACAAGTACCATTTACAATCTTTAGCTCCTCAGAAAATGTTATACTAACCCTGTTGTTGATTACTGGAGCATAGATGACTTTGTCTTTTGACAGTACATCTCATCTACTAATGCCAGTTCTGACAATGCAAATGTAATGTCAGTAGAGGACGACATTGCTGCGCCTGCACTAAATCATGCTGCTCATCCATCATTTGAGAATTCCATTCCTAATATTCTGCTAAGAGAAACATAAATTAGTGGCTCAAAAAAATAGAAGTCACAATTAAGACGCTATTAATGTAATAACCACTATAATACTGTTGAAGTGCAGGTTTTATGTGTTCTTCTCTGAAACCATGTAGCATTTCCTTCTTATATACTTCTATTTATATCCTGTCCCTCCTGGACACTCCCAATGGAAATCTTAACACCGCCACCTTGTCCATCTCTAGCTATGCCTCCTATGGGCCTTGTTCTTGACCTCATGATGCTTTCCATCAAGGTAAAAGAGTGGCTGGTTAATTATTTATTTGTTGCACTATTTAAATACATGTCTAGGTTTTGACAACTAGATCTTAACAGACTAACAAAGAGTTTTACCTAATTCAGTTTCAAAGCAACTTCAACAGATCCAGGGTATAATCTGATTTCACTTATTCCAGTCAAAATAACCACTGTGGTCATCAGCTTATTAAGTCAGTAAGGATTTCATAATGTAGGTACAAACCCATTCGTATGAAATGGGCACCTTTAGCAAGAGCTGACCAAGCATTAATAAGAATAAATCTACAGTCAACAAAGGAGCTAGTTTTACAAAGGAAGACAAAAAATATAATATTAATCTAATAGTTAACATATAATACAGCCTGAAAGCAACACAGCTGCCACAGATAAGGCAGCAAAAACGAGGGTATGCAAACACTACCATTAGTATGTGTATATCTGAACCTGTGTGTAATTTTGATTGATTATAGAAAATCCATAATAAATACATATGTGGGGTTTTTTAAAGTCATTAAAATATTACATTACAATATGTTGTTATATTACAGTTTTGTCTCCCTCTGTAGAATCAGTTGCCATTACATATTTGAGACTGATAATATGCTGCAAACGCAAAAGTTAGATTGATAAACCAATTAATAGGAATTGTAAATATATTATTTTTCATTATAAAGTGATTCTGTATATTATTTTTCATCAGTCGTACAGATTTTTTGCAGGTACTATCTGTAAAAGAAATCAGGCTATCAAATGACTTTAACCTCTTTCTGCCTCGCCAATTTACCGTAAACCTGAGAGAAACTACTCCCCCACAATTTTGATAACGATAAAAAGCTTACATGTAATGTGATTATCACGCAATTTGTCTTCACCCTTTCTTTCACCTTTTCTTGGGAATCTTCAAAGACGTTTTTTCGGCTTAAATGAGCTCAGTGTGTGTACATCAGATTGACAACAACGTCTTTTACAGATATTACGGTTCATGTTGCCAGGGAGTGACTGAGCCGTAGTCATACAGACACAATAGAGCTGCAGTCACCATGTATATAGCAAGTGTTTGTATTTGAAACTATTAGAGCAATATGTAGTATCTCTCAAATTCTGTGAGTGCAATTTCGAAGCGTTGTTCTGGGGCTATTATCAGTGAGCTCTGATGCCTTTGCACTAACAAGCTATCTTCGTTAGACAGTAGGAGAGTGGCCGTGCACCGTTAGCTAGCTTTAGCCAGTTTGATAACATCATAGCTGCCTTGCCAGTTTTTACTATGGAGTTTCCTTTTGACATAAACCAATTATTCTCCGAGAGGATCTCTGTCTTGGACCAGACCTTGGTTGCAGGCCGCAAATCTGCAGGAAGGCAAGTTTCAAAGGTTTTCGAATCCTTTTGATAGTATTTTACAGTCAGACACTCGGTTCAGTTCAGGTTTTCAATTCAGGCTTACATAGCACAATACCAAAAATATACATACAGGCTCAAATATGTACTTAAACTTACTTAAATATTCTAATGTGGTGCTACAATATCTTTTTAAGTTTACACGGCCAAGGCTTATTGACTTTTCATTGGTGATCATGATTGAGTCCCACTTTTCCTCCATAAGAAAGATTTGATTGACAGCACTCATTGGACCCCAGGGATCTCAGTAAAGAAGAAAGAATTGTAGATTTACACAAGTTGGGAAGATCTGTTGGAGCCATGTCTAAACAACTGCAGATTCTGAGATCACCAAGTCAAACAATTGCACATAAGTACAAGTATTTGGGAAACTATCACCGTCAGATGACAGGAAATTGCTTAGTTGTTCAGCAGCACACAAGGTGCACCAAGGCTTAAGCTTGCCAGGATGTGACTGGTCTTAATGACTGGTCTTTTTGACCAGTCAGACGTCTTCAGACTACAAGTCACATTCTACATCATGACATGCCTATAATGGATGCATGTAAACATCTGACCTCAACTGTAAGCAGAACCATGTATAATGCAAATAGAACATAAATGACAAATCTGTGACCTCTTGGGCTGATCTACCTGGCCCTATGTGAAAAAGCAAGGAGTCAGGGACACTGCCCCCTTTTTTAGAAAAAATAAACATGAATGAACAGAAGTGGCCTGTTTAGGCAGGGAAACAGACTTTTATCATGCCTGTGGGCCATCTGGTATCCTGCATTTAGATGTACTGTGAGAAAGAGGTAGAGTGTCTGGAATATAAAAAGTAAAAATGAGCCTCTTATCTAATAATATTCTGCTCTGCGATTTCTTTGCAGGCCAGATCTTCAAGCTCACATAGCCACAGTTATTGATGAACTTGGGAGGGCCTCAGCAAAGGTGAGTCTGTGTAGTCCGCTTACTTTTCCGTGTAAAGACACATGTCAAAAGGGAATATTTTTATTATCTGCCATATGTATGTTACTATTTTCCTTTTAGTCAAAAGCTCAGGATTCAGACTGCTCTGAACAGTTGCTTTCCTTTTTTTATTTTTAGAACAAGCTAATGTCAGCTCTTTATGAATTTCTTTACACTATCATCTTCTAAACAAGTCAACCCACAAGTCAAACTTTTATGTTTGTGTGTACACTGTCTACTGAAGTAACATCGCAGTGTATCGCCTGACATGTCCAGTCAAAATCACAATGCACAGTTGATTGGTGACATCGAAATATTGCTATTTATGTTACCTTCAGTATTTCTTGAGCTGTGTTTTCCAGTTCAGTTGGGACATTTGAATTTTGCTGGATGACTGAAAGTATTATTTTGTTGAAAGCACCCATCATTCGCATACACTGTAAGGCCTGATCATTCCTCCATCTGTTATAGCTGTGCATTGTCCATTGTACATATTTTGTTTACTAAGGATGAGTAGCAGCAGGAATTGGAATCCGAATGCCTCACTTGCATACTTAGTTCACACCCAACTCACACTGTGTCTGCTGTCAGTGGTCTTTTTTTATGCACTCTCTCTTGTCTTATGTGGCTCTTAAAAGGGAATAAATATGGTAATGTCTAACTAGATAGTTTCATTCTTTTACCCACTAAAGTAGTTTCGCTTTGCTGCTTTGATTCGGCGCGCCCTACATGTTTCGTGCGTGTTCAGCTGAGAGAAAGTGTCACCACGCCCGGTTAAGCATCAGTCAACAGTCTCCAGTGGACCCAGGTGGCCTTGAAGGAGGGGCAAAGAGTTCTGACAACAATCCTGTTATCATGGGAAGAATTTGTTGTTCCAGTCAGCTTCAACCTTGGCAGGCCTTCAGCTGGCGCCAGGGGAGCCGCATGAGTGAAGATCGTGAATGTTTGGGTTTAGTGCGAACAACTGCATCCAATTTTTACAGTTGGTCTAATGTCCATCACTGGTCACCAGTTCTCTCAATTCCCGTTGTTCTTCTCCAAGATCTTATCCATATTGCGTTCAAAACACAGTCTGAGTACTCACAGCCAATCGTCTATCATGTCGGCCAGCCTTATGGGATCTTGAACAGCTGTAGCCGCTTCCTGTTCTTCGATAAACCAGGTCCAAGCCAGCTCCAATCAGCCCGAACTCTGTTATCATGGTTCCAAATTGGTAGATGTTGTTCATTGTCCTCCATCGAGAGTGTCGCCAGACACACGACGCAACCGACCATCGAGTATCCGGCAGCAAACGTCTCCGCAGGACAATCGGGCTCTCCCAAGCCTAGCAGAGTGTCAATTCCATTACAGGACCAGTTGATGAAATCCATAATTCTTTAGGTTTTAGAGAACAAGACTGGGAAACTCTTTGAGGGTTAGAGTTAGACGAGACTAGACAAACACATAGAAGAAAATAAGAACAACCCCAGGTTTCTCTACTGTACTGTAGCCAGGCTGACAAAAAGTCAGAGCACCGTTGAGCCAACCATCCCTTTAATGTTAACTATTAATGACTTGATGAATTTCTTCACAAATACAGTTTTAACCACTAGAGAAAAAATGCTCATAATCATCTCACAGCTGTAGCATTATCTACAGCTACTTTCAGTACCACTGATATTTATTTAGACTCTTTTTCTCCAATCGATCTTTATGAGCTAACTTCAATAA